AGCCATTACTTGACAGGGCTTCACCCGTGGGCCAATCTGATCGTTCCTCGCTCGACCCGAATCTTGCGCGATCCAGACCTCCAGGCTGGGATAGTCCTGGATAACGACGTATACCGCCAGCTTCCTGTTTCCGGATATCTGTCGCACCGGTTCTCGAAGTCCCTGTTTCCCCAAGTACCCATACAGGCGGATCGCCCGCCCGAAACAATACCATTTATCGAATTGCAACACATAGAGGACGCCATATTCTTCCGTCAACGCACGTCGCGCCTCATAACGCAGGTCCTCGCCGGACAGTATCGTGACGAGGATACCGGCAATATCCAACGTCAACCGTTGGGTGAACACCCCACCATCATTGTCCCCCCGGTTTGGAACAAGATCCGACCCGTTCTTTATCAAGTCGTCTCGACAGCCTGGGGCACCGGCGTAATACTGGAAGCAAAGGACTTCTTCACAATTGGACCAGATCGGCGCGATCTGCACTGTATCATTCTAGATAATTATGCCATCAACCTCACCTCAGGATACAGGGGATTTGACAAGTTCATGATATCCGTTAAGGACTTCGTATGGGTCTACGATGTTAAACCGTCGGTTCAAGCCATGCAGAACCCGCATGCAGTATTACGAAAATCTCGTATACCCCGCACGACCGTCCTCGAGAGCAATTCCGCTTATTTCTTCAGAGTCGACCATTTTGCCTTCGTAACGCCTCGGCAACGTGACGACAAAATCTACGGCATCGTATTATCCACCCTCGTACGCCGAGAGAGAATACAGTCATTTCAGGCCGCCTTTGAAGACGCTCCCGATCCGGTGGTCGTGCCGCCATCCGTGTGTGCGTTTGATATCGCCACAGTGCAACCAGACGAGATGCTGTTGGCTGAATCGCGCTATAACGTCTCCACGGCTATCCGATTCTCGGAGCCTCCAGTTTCCGTCCAAGCACAGAATCAGCTTTGCGATGCAATCCGTCACACTCTCCCCATGCATCCCAGTGAGGGGCTGCTACCCCTCAAGGTCTTCCGCCTTGACCCTAGCGAGTATGCGTGGTTAGACGATCGCATGGGAAAATTTGATTCTTTTCACGACGATCCCAAAACAGCCAAGAGAAAGATGTCTAAGCTTTTCAACGTCGCCTGTTCCGCGCTCGCGGCACTTGATTCCCTGGTGGACGACAAAATATCGCACTGGGTCACTGCTACGATCCCCAA